ATTAAAGACCTTACCACGACGGCGGGATCGCTGTATCATTTAAAGAAATTATCATGACGTCAGGATCGCTTTATCATTTAAAGACCTTACTACGACGACAGGATCGCTGTATCATTTACAGACCTTACCACGACGGCAGGATCGCTTTATTATTTAAAGACCTCATCACGATGGCAGGATCGCTTTATCATTTAAAGACCTCACCACGACGGCAGGATCGCTGTATCATTAAAGACCTCACTACGACGGCAGGATCGCTGTATCATTAAATACCTCACCACGACGGCAGGATCGCTGTATCATTAAAGACCTTACCACGATGACAAGATCCCTGTATCATTAAAGACCTTACCACGACGGCAGGATCGCTTTATCATTGAAAGACTTCACCACGACGGCATGATCGCTGTATCATTAAAGACCTTACCACGACGGCAGGATCGTTGCATCATTTACAGATCGCTTTATTATTTAAAGACCTCCCCAGGACGGCAGGATTGTTGTATTATTTAAAGACCTTACCACGACGGCAGGATCGCTGTATCATTAAAGACCTTACCACGGCGGCGGGATCGCTGTATCATTAAAGACCTTACCACGGCGGCGGGATCGCTGTATCATTAAAGACCTTACCACGACGGCAGGATCGCTGTATCATTAAAGACCTTACCACGGCGGCGGGATCGCTGTATCATTAAAGACCTTACCACGACGGCAGGATCGCTGTATCATTACCACGACGGCAGGATCGCTGTATCATTAAAGACCTTACCACGACGGCAGGATCGCTGTATCATTAAAGACCTTACCACGACGGCAGGATCGCTGTATCATTAAAGACCTTACCACGGCGGCGGGATCGCTGTATCATTAAAGACCTTACCACGACGGCAGGATCGCTTTATCATTTAGAATCAGATGTTTTACCCGAAAATGCGCAAAAGCATATGCTAATCCTTATTTTCAAATGGTTGGTTTATAACTAATTCATACGTGACAAGTCGTGCATGGCAAACAGTTCTAAATTCATGTAGGCTTTTTTAGTACATTTTTTCTTATTTGTAATATCTATTTTAATTTCAAGGAGAAATTTAAAACTGTATCCATGGCCTTTATAATCACTTCCCTCTTTAACGAAATAAAATTAAAAACTCGAGGAATATTTGAAATACTATCTTCATCATATCCTCTAAGCTTTGTAGAAATAAGGGGAAACAACATTTACTTACATATTGTTATCTCTTTAAATTTGACTTTTTGAGAGTAAATTTTGTAGCTGTGTACTTTCGTCTAAAAAATGTTTGTCGCATGGTTTTACTTGTAGTACGTATCACCATACTTAAGTCTACTTTCTCTCACCAATGCCCTTTTCTCTACGCCAATAAAATAACAAGACAAAATGATATATATACAATAACACACTGTAGCGTGAGTGTAATCAATTTAAATAAGATTCGGCGTAATTTACACTAGGACAGGACCAGTATTCAAAATAAAAATCGTACCATACGCGCACGCGACTTATGCTCAGATTTAGCAGCTTTTTTAATGCTCGTAATTGAATCGGCTACAATTTGAAAGCCAAAATGTTGCGACTTGTAAATAGAACAATGCTTACCGTAACACATTTGAATTTAAAAGAAAATTATGGGCGGCTATTGAAATTCAATAGAGTTATATTTCCCATAACTAATATTATCCATTTTAATCTTTACTTAATACAAAGAAGAGTTTCACAGATATTCATAATATTTGGAGCATTGATTTAAAATGTAGCCAGTTCGTGTCTTATCTTTGAACCATTCGTTGCGTAATGCAGCTGAAAATGGCCGTCGACTTCAGCCCATAATCGTAAACCAACCCAAATCTCTTTCCATTCAATCGTAATTCTTGCTATTTCCACGTGTATGTGCGTTTCAAGTCCAAACAAATCAAGTCTGGACTGTACATAGATAGCGTGCCTCCTTCCGGAACAATCACCGTGCTGCTTAGCTAAGCAATCCCCTCACTTAAACACGGACCGTAATTCATACAAAGGCCCGCCTATCATTATAACAGTAGCTTATGAAAACAGTTACCGTGAACTGTGTAGAATGAAAATATGTCTGCCTTGAAGACACCCAAAGTATTGTTTGTGATAGGTTTTTCTTCGGGAACCCTTTTAAAGCGCCTCTTTTACGCTTCCTTGGAGTTTGTCGTGTTCTGCGTAACATTAAATGTGACTTTGACGGGAAAATCGAAATTTGTTTGGTTCGTAAATGAATGCATTGTAAGTGTTTTTTTCTGGTAATGGAAATAAAGTTACGAAATCGTTTTGAAATAATTTGGATCCTTGATATAAATTATAACTGTTTCGTGATATGTCGAAAATTTCGACAGCAACAAATTCAAAGACAAAATTGCAACTTTCTGTTTTGCATTACGCACATGTATCGATTTTCTTGGTCTTTTAAATAATATGTTATAAGTATTTGTACAAATCCATTCAAACCATCTATAATTTCGAAAATGTTCAGGTCGTTCTCTCATCGACTACTTAAAATAAATAAATAAATAAAAAAAAGGTGGAGAGGGGATGTGTGGTTGCGGGGGGGGGGTCTCTTTCCCCATCGTATTAATTAAAATGAAAAGATGGAACAACATTTTATTTTTAAAACATAAGGTGTTTAACAAATGTTTTCTGTTTGTATTGTCCTATATATTAACACACTGTTGAGGAACCGATCAGGTGACATGAGACGAATAGCGTAAGAAGGATAAGAAGGATAAGAAGGGTGTAATAAGTATGGAAGCTGACTGGTGCCGTAACTTGTATACTGAAATACTACTCTGTCCTTTGTTGAACTGCATGAGTATAAAATTCTTATTTCATGTGTGTCTATACGCAACAAGCTTGTCACATACTTATGTGACATTAATATGTATCGTTATCGTCCAATTCCAAAATATGATTAGGTTTAAGACTGCGTGCTAGAGTTTAAAATACATGCATGATGATATTTCACCACTGTCACCAAGTTTTCGGTAGTTACCATATTCGTTTCTGTTCAAACACAATACTAGGACAAAATTCCATTTGAACCTGGGTGCTTATGAGAATACCAAGTATGATTCTATCTCTGCCATCAGTTTTTATGATATCTAAATGTTGCGGATCAGTAATAACAGAATTGTAAACCACGATTTGATTAAAACCACAGTCCCAAAGCAGCCACCAAATTTTAGCAGGGTCCTTATCAGTTAAAACTAATGTACTTTATTGTTTATATCTAAAGATAAATATATAATAAATGTGTTCATGATGATAGACGAATTTTAAAATGGAGAAAAACTTCACAACAAAAATATTTCTTAATTATTATAAATACAATGAATATCAAACTGAGTTCTTAAAACAAGAAAATGTTCCCGAGACAATAACTCTGTTTTCCTTATATGGGAGTGAAAAGCAAGGTATGAAAAACAATACAATCGGTGATCGCTATCCGAACAGTATACTTAATTACAAAATACGTTTTCATCAAGTGATTTAAATTCTACCACAAATTTGAACTTTGACTGGAAGGGTGCTTCACGCTCTCGCAGAAATTAAAAACTCACGATTGTTTTTGCACAACCCGATTTTGATCTTTATCAATTTACTGTTTTCAAAATTATAAACAAGTTGATTATTTATGACTAATAAGAAATTATAATATTCCACATATTTCTGAAAGTGTCAGTATTTTAATCATTACGCTCCAACTGATGTTGTAAACAACACATACATCTTATAGAAAGAAACACTGACGGACAGAGAGCCGAAAGGAATACTGACGGACAGAGAGCCGAAGGGAACACTGACGCAAAGGAAGAATCGAAAGGAAAACTGAAGGACAGAGCCGAATGGAACACTGAAGGACAAGGAGAGCCGAAGGGAACATTGATAGACATGGAGAACCGAAGGGAACACTGAAGGACAAGGAGAACTGAAGGGAACACAGGACAGGTAGAACTGAAGGGAACACTGAAGGACAGGCAGAACTAAAGGGAAAACCGAAGGACAAGGAGAACTGAAGGGAACACTGAAGGACAGGCAGAACTGAAGGGAACACTGAAGGACACGGAGAAGTGAAGGGAAAATATAAGGACAGGCAGAGCCGAAGGGAACACTAAAGGAGAGGGAGGGCCTAAGGGAACACCGAAGGACAAGGAGAACTGAAGGGAACACAGAAGGACAGGGAGAACTGAAGGGAACATTGAAGGACAGGCAGAACTGAAGGGAACACTGAAGGACACGGAGAAGTGAAGGGAACACTGAAGGACAGGCAGAACTGAAGGGAACACTGAAGGACACGGAGAAGTGAAGGGAACACTGAAGGACAGGGAGAACTGAAAGGAACACTGAAGGACAGGGAGAACTGAAAGGAACACTGAAGGATAGAGAGAGCCAAAGGGAACACTCAAGATTACTTCACCCACTCAGGAAACTCTTCTTTCAAAGTTTGGCAATGCACAAAGTGTACTACGTACTCAGAATTCGAGCCAGGGCTCGCTTTTCTTAAGCTTTGTCATCTGGTATGAATATGAAATATCCAGTATCCAATCAATACATGTTGGATACATACAACTTGGTGGTGACGAAAATTTGTCATTTTTATTTGTTAAGATAAATACTTGACCAATAATTAATACAGAATCTTTAATAAATTTTCTTACGAGATTTTATTAGACGAGAATTATAAACTTTCAAAGAGAGCAAATATTTAACGAGTTCATCAAAATCTCATAAGAGATGAAAATACCACAGAAAATATATTGATATGTTTTTAAGTCAAGATGTGGAGGGCAAACTCAAAAGGATGCAGCAAGTTGGTTGTGCCATTTTTGATTAATGGTGTAATGACAGTGTCCATGTTATGAGATCACAAACGATTTCTGACAGGCGTAGCCAATGAAAACCACTCCAGGGTTTATTACATCAGTGACATGCTAAAATAGTACAGGAACAAATTCACTTGATGACAAACGGGTTTGTGTTATATAAGGTTGAGATCCCCACTCTTCCCCTAGAGGTTGAGACCCCTACACTTCCCCTAGAGGTTGAGACCCCTACACATCCCCTAGAGGTTGAGACCCCTACACTTCCCCTAGAGGTTGAGACCCCTACACTTTCCCTAGAGGTTGAGACACCTACACTTCCCCTAGAGGTTGAGACCCCTACACATCCCCTAGAGGTTGAGACCCCTACACTTCCCCTCGAGGTTGAGACCCCTACATTTCCCTTAGAGGTTGAGACCCCTACACTTTCCCTAGAGGTTGAGACCCCTACACATCCCCTAGAGGTTGAGACACCTACACTTCCCCTAGAGGTTGAGAATTCCACTATGCTCCTAGTGGTTGAGATCCCTACACATCCCCTAGAGGTTGAGACACCTACACTTCTCCTAGAGGTTGAGACCCCTACACATCCCCTAGAGGTTGAGACACCTACACTTCCCCTAGTGGTTGAGACCCCTTCACTTCCCCTAGAGGTTGAGACACCTACACTTCCCCGAGAGGTTGAGAATTCCACTATGCTCCTAGTGGTTGAGATCCCCACTCTGCCCCTAGTGGTTGAGACCCCTACACTTCCCCTAGAGGTTGAGACACCTACACTTCCCCGAGAGGTTGAGAATTCCACAATGCTCCTAGTGGTTGAGATCCCCACTCTGCCCCTAGTGGTTGAGACCCCTACACTTCCCCTAGAGGTTGAAAATTCCACAATGATCCTAGAGGTTGAGATCCCCACTCTGCCCCTAGTGGTTGAGACCCCTACACTTCCCCTAGTGGTTGAGACCCCTACCCTTCCCCGAGAGGCTGAGATCATCAGTTTCCGTCTAGGGCTTGAGATTCCCGTACCTCAACGGAATGAAATATTCTAGCATTCGGATGGAAATGTTTTTCCTACATTGGTTCATATAAGGACATTCTTTAGGGAGTTATAGAATTTATGATTATTACCATTTGATAACAAGGTCTCTGGTTTAACAACCTTGCAGTGTACATTTATCAGATAACAATGTACTGATTACAATAGTCTAGTTTCATGTGTCCACAGCGGATATAGACTAGTTATGTGATACGATATATCTAAATGATATCAGCAGATATGCTTTATTATGACAAAATTTCCTGTTTAATATAATTTTCCTTAACAACCGAACCCGTCGAGACATGGCAAAACTCTATACGTATCTCTCTATTTCCAAGATATTGAATGTAAGACGTGATTGTTTACCTCCTATTGTGAAGTGATACGCCAATCTTTGTAAATATGATCAAAGTTTTTTATAGAGTTAAACATACGTAAATGCTTGATATATATATATTGTATCCAAAAGCTATTAGCATCAACACAATATTGGTTTTTAACAGTGCAATAGCGTTGTTTCTGTTCTAAACATTACAAACAAGAGGGAGCTTTTACGTTGATTGTTTCTCACAATGCAATCCCCGTAGGCACGGAGAGTTTGTCGGTTTCAATTCTTATCAACCTCGCTTACGTTTTCTCTAGATGTCTATTTCAGTTCGAAGTCACAAAATTCAGCCTGGATTCTAATTGCATGTTTTCGGTTGCTCAGTAAAAGTTGATTTGCCATGCAAATTTTTGTTCTGCCTATAACCCAAGTTACTGGAACCAGAATTATAGTTTAATAAAAGTACTGGAAGTTCTGTAAAATCATTTTTGTAAAGTGCAATTAAGTTTTGACTAAGAGATGTTGAAATATGTAGCACGTGTAGTTAATGCTTTCATGCTTCTATCGTGTCAGTAAATAGTAAGAGAAGTGGTAGGTAACTGTAAAACTATCGAGACATCTTTGATTTGACTCATCCGACATAAATCCAACAAGCAAACGCAAATGTAGCATAAAAGCTGATTCACGTACAACTGAGGGATTCAGAAAATCATGGTAAGCACCCTTGTAAATGCTTCATTCCGACATGCGATTGGCCGAATACTTGTTGCTGGTGGCCTTTTGTGTAATTGATAAGTAGGTGTCTGAAAATATAAAATTTTATAGTTTTCCATCCCAGTATGCTTTATACTTAATTTCTGTCATTAATCTTAGTAAATTTAAAAGTGATCCAGCCCAGTATGCTATATGCAAAAGATGCTTTATGCTACTGATCAAATACCATAACAATAACTATTATTGTTATTGTTATTGTCTTACCAGTCCCGCAATGTTACCGGGTAGTATGGTAACTTTTTAGCAAATTGTAAATTACACTAAGATATATGTTTTGATCAATAACATATAAAATCTATAAAACGATGTTCTCCTCTTTAAATATTCACACACTGTAAACCATCAAAATTTTTTTTTAATTCTTCATTCTCAATATACATTTAAATATGACATTTTTTATAAGAGTCTGGTGTCCATGATTTCCAGATCTTGTGGTCATATACGATGGGCGTGGTCAATAGAGTTTTCATATTTAAAAGGACCAGCATCTTCAATTTCATTTGCGTGAAAGCAGCACATTTCTAATTCATTTTCACTGGCTTTTGTGGAAAGACCAGGGAATATTTATCAATGATATAATTGGAAAGACACTATCTTTACTTATGTCTAGACCTTAATAGGCCGAAAATTGGTCAATCTGAACAATTTGATTTCGTTGCAAAAGTTTGGGACACTAAATATTGCACTCTTGTATCAGGTTTTTCTTTTGGTGGCCGGGTAGGACCATCTCAAATCCTTGCAATCTTGCTCTGTCGAGTTTCGAATCGCTCCGTTTTATCGCCTTCGCGTTGTCGCAATCTCGCCTTGTCGAGTTTAGAATAGCCCCGTTTTGTCGCCTTCGCGTTGTCGCGATCTCGCTCTGTTATCTAAGATTGCGGAGATTCGAACTGGCTCTAACCGCCTACATGACTTCCCCAGAATCCAATGACTGCGTGTTCTAACATTTGTTAATCGCAACACGCTTATCAATTAAACAGTAAGTTTCCATACTCATTGATAGTATTACAGTAACATGTACATTCTCCCTCTCAAGGATATTTTCTTTATGGGTGATCACCAGAGTAATGGTTGGACTGGGTGCAATTAAATATATGGACACAGACACATAATTATGAATTATTTATACTTTTTGAGGGGAGGACCTTTTCCATTGTTCTGTTTTAACATCTTACAACTAATGGGATTACGCGAGACTTAGCACTGCCAAATCCTTCCTTATTAACGTTTCGCGCCAATATAACAGATCAGTACATCCAACAAGCGCTGCCCTGACCTGGATTGTTTTCAACGCCTGACAAGAATGCATTTCATTATTGGATAAGTTAATAATTCAAGTTACATTTAATTAGTTTGATTGAAGAGTATATTAATAATAGGATTGCGTGTGAATGTTTGCCTTATATAATTGTTTCAGCAAATATCAGGTTTTTGCGGCCATACCGGGTACACGTTAACAAAACATATATAAAATACGAGGTCAGAACTGATTGACGGACAGATGCATGTGTTTGATTAACCAAGGTCCTCGTCCTTTGAACACATTTACATCATTTGACAAGTTGTTCGCCTTAAATCTACACTGGTTACTCTTTTCCAAATGTTCAAACTTGAGATAATATGATATATATGATAAAGTCAACATCATCACCTCATTGACGAATTTACTCTCCGTAATGATATCAATTATAACAATTACTTCAGGTTGATCACCCAAAACAAGGCGGTTTAACTTGGGGTGAGAAAGTGATATCACTATTACCCATTTAAATTCTACACCTTACAAGGAGTTTGGCAAACATCGGTCTGTCAGTGTAACAACACTCAATTGGCCAAACAGTAATTACTTATCTTAATCAGCTGATTCGGTCACACATATATCCTTATATTTACTTCGGTTGTGACATAGATCGCCATGTTTTAATACGCTTCAGAATCCGGATTATAAATTATAAGTTATCATAAACATTTGTAAGTAACGGTAGATAAAGAAGTGGGAGACCTATTGTTTTTGTCGCGTTTCTTCTCTTATTTAGTCCACCTAAACGATAAGTTGTCAAAATTTTCCTTGTTCCGAGGTTGAAAATACGTTTAAATCAAATCGAATCAAATTGAATCAATTGAAAATAATATTAGTCTATTCAACACGTAATATCGCAGACACTCGAGAAAACAGTATTATATTAGACTGATAGAAAATCTCAAGTAGTGATATAGAAAATATGACTTACAGTTGGAAAAAATAATAGCTAGACCAGATCATACTTCAGGGAACAAATTGTGTCCCTCTCTTTGCTGACTTATATTTTCTTTTTCTAAATTCGACCTTTAATTTCTCCTTAAGATTAATTGACGGCGTTTTTGCTTTAAATGACAATACATTTATTGACAAAGTCAATCGTATTTACCCACTTGCATTCGAAATCAAGGGCACACAGACTCTGCTACACCAACCGCTTACTTCTATCTTTTCTTGCTACTAAACCAACGGGGACTTTTTTCCACATTAAAAAGTGTGAAAAGTATGATTTTTTTTCAAGTTCTCTATCATATACAACTTTTCTCAATGATGTCAATAGTTGGATACTTTGATTGGCCAAGGCTTATATATTGGGTTTCGTCAATCAAGCAGAAGACGCTTACCATTCCGTAACACATGGTCTTTTTATCCTTGTACTTTCCAGGGGTCGCTCTTTTGTCAATATTTCCTTTGTTCATATTTTGCCCTACTTTAAGCGAATTCCAATGTTAATTTAGCTGATACGTTGTTGTCGTGTTTTATATGACACTTGTGGTGTTAAATCATCTAGTGTTATTACAACAACACGATAACGATATTGTGTAAGATCAGATGTTTAAACTGCGGCCTTGTGATCAAATTGAGACACTTCTTTGGTCCAAGTAAATAAAGGTTATAATAAGGTACTCAGTATTGTATTGGAGTAAACGGATCCTTGATATATCGGACGTGTTTAGGTAATACTATGGAGAATAGTAACAACTGTTTCAGACACGGGACAGGCGATTTGTTTGCTTTGACAGAAAGTCGAAGAAATTGACCAGCGTGGCGTAATTAGTGTCCAGCAGTCTAGTAACATACGCTTTAGAGCGATTCGCATCTGCCCTGACCAGGTCAAGTTCGGCCATAATTGGTCATTCTCCAGACAGCTACAGTTAAGGTACAACTGTGTGTAGGAACTGCGTATATCTAGGATCCTTAGGTTAATAGATCTGTATTGTACGTTCCTGGTTTTGATTGTGAATCTTAAATTGAAATTGTTCACAATATGTTTATATGTAGATATGTCAAGAATAACAGAAGAAGTCACTAAATCATTATCTTTTTAATGTTTCTATCAGAAATATAACTACATAGTTGAGTCAGGGACATATGACATGTCCCTGGGTGAGCTCTTTGTAACAGTATATTCATTTATCAGAAATCATATATTATTGCAATAGTGATAGAAACACGTGTTTAATTTATTTACGGAGATTTGTGAAATTACTTTCAAATCATTTTGCATTGAACTCTTTACATTTATATGTAGATTAAGGGATATTCATTACTCCGTGTCTACATTAAGACAATTTATAGAACAAGTTTATAGGATAGCTTGATTTCGACGTGCTGCATTATGGGAAATCGTTGACATCTCAGCAATGTTTATTATAGTCTTTGTTCGTTGAAAAACGTAAACTTATATCACTCTAATCAACGTGTCTACTTTTTCATTCTAGTACTGAACACTGGTAATTGTCACATTTACTGTGATACGTGCCAATCAAGTACCAGGTGATTCTATTATTTTCTAGTACTGTCCATTGGTTACTGGGACACGTGCTAATGAAGTACCAGATGATTCTATTCTGTTCTAGTACTGAACACTAGTTATTGTGACACGTGTCAATTA